GCACCAAAAATGTGCTGCGGTTCAGTGGATTTTTGTTTTACCGTGCTTCTGTCAGACATGGTTGGATTAATTCCTTTATTTCGAGCCGGGTTCTCCGGCAAACTTGTACAAACACTTCAACGAACACTACGGAAAACGCCAGGTTCTCCGTCTTACAACTCAACCGCAACTGACTCTCCAAAAGGGAGGAGCCAAAACTGTAAATTTCGGAAGGCTGCCAGCTGGCAGCTTCCTTTGTTGAATGCAATCGCAAACAAGACAAAAACATGTTTTGCGCAATCGCAACCAAGACACTGCTTTGCGAACGGGGTTCGCGGAATCGTACAAAACAACAGTACAAGATCATCGAACGGTTACGGTAGCGTCGGCTACGACACTCCGGCCGAGGAGAAATCGAAACAGAAACTTACGGTAGCGTCGGCTACGACACTCCGGCCGAGGAGAAATGGAAACAGAAACTTACGGTAGCGTCGGCTACGACATAAAGGCAGTAGATCGGCAGAATGAGACCCGTGACAAAACAAGGTCACAGGGTAGGAGCCCCCATATGGAACCTATCGGCCAAAGTCCGATCTTTCTCTGCCACTTCTAACCCCCGAAATTTCAACGCGGAAGCAGCGCTCATCTCCTATATTCTCTGGCCCCGCCCACCATGGGATGAAATTTCGGGGATTAGAAGTGGCAGAGAAAGATCGGACTTTGGCCGATAGGTTCCATATGGGGGCTCCTACCCTGTGATCTTGTTTTGTCACGGGTCCTTAAGAAAAACGTATCTGAACCTTGGCTAACCCTACCGTGGATGATGAGCAGTTGCTCACACTTAGCAAGAAGATCTATGAGTACGTTTCATCATTGCGGACAATGGTGCGTTCCTCCCCGAGGGGGAATGAAAATTTTGAAAGTACCCTTTGGTTAAAGGCTGAGCATCATTTGTCTTGTTTCCAACTGCAAATGGTTGAAGCTTTCTTTAGATTTCAAATTCGTTAGATGTTGCTTGTTTCTGATTACAAACGTTCCTCTAAATTTCATAATAATCCAAATTAGCTTTGCAAAAAAATTTTTTCTAATGGGTAGTTGCTGCCATGTGCTCTTTTCAGATATTCCGAGTTGGTCCGAAAAATTTTGTTCGGAGATTCAGCGCTAGATACGTACTTCCTTCGAAAGGAAGTGCGTATCCTTCCCCTCCCACTGCAAATATTTTTGTGACCCTTTCGCACTCCGCGTTTGTTCGAATGTTGATCTCCTGACCGTCCCTCCATAATGCTCCACTTACGAGGTAAAGGTAGACCATACATTTTTCAGAAATGCTTCGTAAATAAAGAATAATGTATTTCAAAGCAGCCTGCTATGTTCTATCCGCCGTCGTACTCGCTATAATAAATGGCGATATCGTATAGCAATCAGAACCACGAATTTTCTCGACATGATGCATTTTGCCCATTCCTAACTCATTATAGTGTGGAATACACAAGACACATTAATAAAGGTGTTTCATTTCTTTCTCTGATATAAAAATTCTCCAATACTCATTTTGAGGAAAAATTTAGAAAAATTAGAAATTATAGTGCTTGGAAATTATGTACTAGTACAGGGTGGGGCAAAATGGGAGCCGACTTTGCAACGTCGTAGATCACGAAACTACCAGTGTTTTGGATTCCAAATTTCCGCCTCATAATGCTGCAATCATCCTCTACAAATCCCACTTTACATAGCTAAAAATGCTTGCCATACGTTTTTGTAAGAATTAAATTTATCGAACAAATGCTTCTGCAGAGCGAGGAAATCAAAATTTCTAGTATTCACAATTTATTTCGTAGCTAAAGATTTTGTGAATATTGTACAACATCTTGATGCAGACAATGTAGACGAGGCTTTGTGCTATCACATCGCAGTGTTGCGTTTGCAGGAGCTATTCTTAAAAAACGCAAATTAAACAAGTGCGGATATTGTTAGTGTGCCTCATAATTTTTTTACCGTTTTTACTACAACTGCCGTATGTTGCGTCTTCCCTTCATCTGATGTGGCATGAGTATCGACAGGGCAAAGCAACTACAAAATGGCTATTAAAAATCTGCCCAACTCGTATCCCATGTGAAGTTTTAGGCTGAAATCTGATAGTAGTGAAAACGAACTTTCCTGTCAAAAATCGTATCTCCGCCCCGAATCATCTGAAAAATTTCCCATTTTCCTAGCATATTCTTGATACATCACATATTCAATTGTACACTTTCGAATTTTATGGCTAGAAATAAAGAAAAAATGAGTGATGTAAAATAGCAAACTCCGCCCCTAGACGTCTTCAGCTCCTCCCACTCATGTGATCATATTGTCTGTACATACAGAATTACAATCATGTATTTGTATACTTTGTAGATGCCTCAGTTCTCGAGAAATGCTGATGTTTAGGGTGAAAACGGTAAAAAAAATTATGAGAAACCCTAATACCTGCGTGCCAGTGGCCATTTGTCTTCAAAATAAATTCGAAAGGTATAGAAGTGCAGCAGGTACTGAGCTTTATACTATATTCTTTGCATGCATCTTCCATAAAAGCATCTATTTGAATTCGATCGATGGAGCAATTTCAAAACTTTTTAGATTATGATTTTTTTTCGTCTCCTTCGCGTCATCGCATCCAAATTTCCAGTATGCCAGTACTCTTGCCTTCATTTAGAACCCCGAAATTTTCCCCCAATTATTGCAAAAATAGTTTCTTCATAATATATTGTAGCCAAGAGCTTGCTCTATCATACTGCACATTTGCATAGTGAAAGAAGCAGTTATTGTGAAGCCGTGGGACGAACTTTATCGCGACCGCCTGTTTGCCGCGACAGGCGGACTCGCCAAGACTTCAAGGGGTTGCTTCGAAGCCAGAAGAGGCAATCTTAGAATTTGAAAGCTGCGCTGTATTTGTAAAGGTTAAATTTGTGTGCGCACCAAGTTGTTTGTACCTTCCTTTTGATTTTATCCGAAAAAGTGCCAAGCTCCCACACTTTTGCCCCACCCTGTAAAATACGATAGCTGTACATTTTAGAAACGTCAGACAATGACATTGGCTGATCGAAGGGTGCACTTTTCAAGTGCATTTCGGATACACCTTGCACGTGCTTTACAGTAAAATTAGCAAGCAAAGATAGAGTTGCAGAGCTTGAAGAGATCAACTGTAATGCTTTTGCGAGATGAGGTTCACTTTTTACAAATGCGAAACTTACATATAAGGTTATTCCGAAAAACTCGTTTGCACCATTCTTATAATCTCGTAACTTATGATCTTTCCGACCGATCTGCTGCTCCTATTTATATTTTGAAGAGCAAATCTTGCTCTATAACATTATTTTAGCAGCGTTCCATCGAGTATACGTTGCATAGGCAGGAGCAGTAGAAAAAATACTGAAACTATGATTTTTCCAAGTTTGGCCGTAAAAAGTGGCTTTTGCAGTAAAAATCGAAGCGTTTATATCATAGATTTTACTACCTGCTCTTTCTAATTAAACAGTTTTGCTTACTGGAAATTTCTTTAAGCTGTCGGGATGCAGTTGGACTGCATCAGCTGTTCGGAGGCTGGCCGACGAGAGTCGAGCCGAGCAGTGACCCCCGTGGCCCCGACACCACCCGGTTACCACCATCCCCCCTACCCCCATCACCCTTGTATATTATGTAGATAATAAATATTTATATAAGACTTTGTAACCCGCTACACATCAGGATAAAGGGAGTAGCTAACCTTTTATACCTGACATGGAGGTCCCAGGTAGATTTCTTTTTCTTTACACCCCTACATTTTTTTTCTCATTGGGAATAAAATTACACCCCCCCCTTCGTCCACCCGCCTACCCTTTCGTCACTCTGCGACGTGTGAGTTGTTTATTTTTATTTATATATGGTAATTACCAGAATGTTGCAGTGCATAAAAAAAATAGTGAAATAGTTATAATTTTTTTTTTCAGAAATGTGAACATTGTTCCAAAACAATTGAAAAAAAAACTTTTTACGTTGTGTATATAAATTATGTTCACATATTGTTTACAAAAGTCCTTGCGAGCAGTCCCAGTGTCCCAAAACTATTACATATACATAACTAAATTAATTAGCTCGCTCACTTTCTATAGATTTACCATACTGTTGATGATCAAATCATAAATTACTAAATATCCTTGCGCCCTAGTTTTGCATAGTCGACTAATTACCATCGGCAAGACATTATGACGCGCGAAACATATAAGTAATGCCTCGCGAGTGAAAATTACTATCCATATGCAAACAATACTTTCTTTTGTTACCAATACAAATGTAATAATTCTTATTTCTAGGGAAATTTCCGCATAAATTCAAATTATTTTCTATTTTTTAATGAGTGTGGGACACACTCTTGCTTAAGCAAGTAAAATATCTATTTCTATACATAATCATTTAGTAGCGCCCTGTGTTAGTATCTCTGGGGGATACTTACATAGAAGTTGTTATTTAGTGAGCAGTTAAAGGCATTGTCTTATGACTTGTACTTATGTATATACTTTATTAATATTGTTTTTTCTCATCTTTTGGACTGGACTGTTCGCACTGTAGCTACTATTACCACACTAGTGTTTACATGCAATCTGGAAGGATGGAATCCGCCAGATAGACATGTTTGCAATCTACCGCGCTATGTAACACAGCCAGGCGACCTCTAATCCTTAATCCTATCAAACTTATTGCTGCGACAACTGTCCGCGCGCGTACAAAACAATCATAACTCAACGCCTAAGTGTAAGCAAAGTGACCTGACAACCGAATCGAGAGTAATGCTAGCGCCTGCTCAAACTCGGTGACCTTTCTTACAATATATGAAATAATTGCACAGCTGTCTAGATTACAATCACGACACCCAGGATTAGGCGTAGGAAATTTATTGCTTACAGTATTACACCACTTTTCTGATACCAGCTGCCCAGAACAGAACAACAACAACTTTATTAAATAAAATAGTTACATTAAATGGGAAGGCACATTTACAAAAATACCTACATATTCCTCCACGGTTTATTGGCGCCATCCAGAGCCCGGATGACCGTGTCGAGCCCTAGAAGGTTGACGAAATAAATGCCGCTGATGCTTTCAACGCTGCGCTTCAGCAGCGCAGCCATCCTCGGAGGCATATGCAGAAATCCTCCTAGGTTTATGATGGTAATATGCCCTAATTGGAGTTTCAATCCCGGCCTATCCCCTCTCCAAACATTATCGTCGTCGATTTCTTCCCAGTTGTATGGGGTTCCGTCGTTCCTCTCCATTAGACCTAAACGTGAACGTCTTTAATACCACTATCTCAAGATTTAAACATTAAAAGAAACAAGTAATGTTTATTTCACTTACCACTAATGGTCGTGTTGTCGACCATTTGAAGCGTCAAAAACGCTCTACCATCCCGCTGAATCTCAATGGTGGATTTCTCCACAATTGACCGGGATAAATAGGCCAGGAGGAGTTCGTCCTCCTGGGATTGCCGGAACACGTTTTCCATCGGGTTCACCCTCTTGAGCGGGAGAAAGCATCGAGCTCTTCGCAAGTCATCTACCATCCAGCCACTCTCCTTTAATGGGAAAAAGCATCATAAGTAAAATACAATTAGAGTTATACTACTTACCTTCCTAAGAGAGACGATTATGTCTTCTCGGGCTTTCAGACGCGCTTCGTATTCTTCCACAACCCCTTCGTGCTCCAAGGCAGTCTCATATTCCTTCTGCAAAGTTCCCTCCAGCATCCTTTCCATGCCAGCTTCGCGTTCCGCGCGGGTTGACACTTCTTCCTCCAATGCACGCACTGTCTCCTCCAGCACGCGTATCTGATTTGCTTGGCTCTCAATTGTTGCCCTCAGGCGCAATATTTCCTCCATCTCACTTACCTAAATATAAATATTTAAAAAAAAACGAAGTTTTTTTTTCTTTCTCTCTTTCAAAAAAAAAACACTGAACAATTTGAGTTTATACTTACGGATGAGTACTGCGAACCTGGAGAAACACTTCTCCAGCCTGGGGATACAGCATTACTCCAATCCGGTGACTCCGGCGACCAATTCGAAGGAGTTGGAGATGGATACGGAGTTCCATTGTTTGCGCGACCGAAAGACGACATTTTATCTGAAAAAAAACAACATTTTGTTTGAAAAAAAAAAGGCTTAACAAAATATCATAACAAATTCAGGAGCTAAGAAGAGAGCAACCGCTCTGAAGCAAGAAAAAATAAGATGTGGATGCCAAATGAGGTCTGGTGCATAATACCCTGCACCAGAACTTTTAATCCTTGACACGCCTACAGTTATGTAACAGGCTTATCCGCATATGCAGCTATAGCTACTCCAGAAAAAAAAATATTTGTATTATATATAATATACATACAAATTGGAAATAGATTTTTTTTGGAAGATCAGAATTATTACACTCTAAGAACATATGCTCCAGACGGCTGGCTCCTCCCACATTTTTGTAAGAATTACAATGCAAAAAATGACCCGCCTCCTTTGGAAGAAGCTTAGATCATTCTATATCCTAGTAGCCACTCCAGCTGGTTGCTTCTTCGATCTCCTCCTAGTTACCCCAACCCAACCTTCATCCTTCTGAAGTCCATTTGGGCTGGCAATAGCCTCAAACCATCTCGCCTCTCCACCCTCTCGCACCCGCGATTGTCCAAAGCCACGTCCGCGACCGACACTCAAGCCTCTCCACAACTAAAGTACTATCTCGGATCAACAACAAATATTGGACTTGGCAACCAACAATCTGGATACAGGTGCGATTATATTGAGACAAATAATTAGTGAACTATAATACAGTGATTACTCATCTATCTTTTTCGAAAAAAAAATTTCAGATTTTCAAATTCACAGAATTTATTTTAAGTAAATTTCACAATAAATTTAAAAATCAAAAAAAAAATTTTGTTTCAATTAAAAGGAAAACAGAATTTTTTTTCTCTTTCAACAGCAATAATAGTTTCAACATTGTTTTCATTACATGAGTAGTTCTGATACCGATCGTACATCAAGTGAGTCTCCAAAACTTTGTAAAGTTACAGAAAGAGGTTCCGTAAAAAGAAGACCTAGATCTCACTCACGAATTACTCATAAAATCCAGATAGTAGAAGATCAGCCAATAGTACCAGTTCAACAAGATCAACCAGTAGTACCAGTTCAACAAGTAGTAGAAGCCGCACATTCGTCTAGATCACCAATAGAAGTAGAACGTTCAGCTTCAGCTCCTCCATCCGATTCTTCTCAGTCAGATAGAGCTGAAAGCGTAATTCTTGAATCACTTTCTTCGCATTCATCTCGCACTTCAGATCATTTACAACAAGAGCATCAAAATCCTTTTGATCCAACAGTAGTAAATAACCTTATTGATATTCAGAGCGAGATTACTGTAGGTACAATTCATTTACCAGTGAATTCAATGGCTAATAATCAACAAGCAATAATGCCTCAAATTTCAAACGACTCGCAAGTTATCATTGATCGTTTGGGTTCTGTTTTCGACAAAATGACTCTTTCATCTTATGTCTCGAAACTACCCACGTTTTCAGGAGATCAAGGAGGCAAAGGTTTCATGAGTTTTCTCGCAAAATTCATTGAAATTGCAACTATTATGGGTTTAGACGAACAAAAGATGGTTCTTCTTTTACCAGCACATTTGCGTGGTGTAGCGAAAGTTGTGTACGATAACATTTCTGCTGAGGACAAAGGAAAAGGCTGGAATACTATAACCAAAAAGTTGAAGGAACATTTTTCCACTGATCATTTTTTGGATCTAGCACGCGAAAAACTGATGCAAATGAAAATGGAACCGGGCGAGTCTCCCCTTCTTTTTGCAAATAGACTTAAAAATCTCGGAGACGACGCTTATCCGGAAAGTGACCAAAAAGAGCGGACTTTTCTTTTGACAACTATTTTTACAAATGGTTTACCAACTAGCATTAAAGAAAAACTCAAACTCAAAGGACCTCTTCCAACAGATTATGAAACGCTACTTAAAGAAGCAGAGCGAGTTTATGGCCTCTCATCTCCAGACGACATATTTAATTCTAACAGTACCATCTTAGCTAAAGTAGACAAAATTTTGGATAGTATCGAACGGTCGAATTCGGCAATTAACGTGGTTTATAGACCAAATCGGTATAGAAATTGGAATCAACACCAGAGACAAAATTGGAATCAATATCCAAGGCAACGCAATTATCCTTCTGCAAATCGTAATTCTTTCCGTTCTCCAAATCGTCCTTCTAATTATAATCGGTACCCTCCAAGACAAAATGTTCGATTTGCACCCAGTCCTACTAACAATCGTTTCAGCAATTCACAAAACAGGTCACGATTCAATCGTGAGCGCTCTAGATCACAAACACCAGTAAATTTTTCTAATCATAGACAAAATTCGGGTCCCCAAAGATCTACTGGTAACACACAGAATAACCGCGCTCATAGAAGGAGACCAGTCAACGCAGTAGCAACAAACCTTTCGACCGGCATTCTTACTTACCCATACTCTCTTTTCGTTATAGCAATTCTTTCTGTCATTTTTCCTACCGTATCAACTCTTTCTCTCCAAACTTACCAATTATGCGCAGCCGGTAAGTCTGGTTGGCCTGTAGCGTACCCTGAAACTACTTCTTGTGTTCATAACACCAATTCATCGAATATTTTACTGACAACGGCCGAAGTTTTTGTTGAACGGACTGAACCTTACCTTTTGCCCGCTTATCACTGTTTTAATAAAACTAGAAAAATATGTACTTCGTCTTATTTGCATATATCCTTTTCTGTAAATAGTGACGAAGAATTCATGAGCCCAATTGACCCTACTTTGTGCACATCACTCAGTGAAACCAAAATTTTCATGGGTAAACCTTTGGAAATTCTTGGTCCTAATGTGTATGGCTCGGAAAATACGATCCATTACTCATATCCTCTGTTTTTTGGCGAGAAATGTACCTATACCACCAATGTTTATGTTGAAAAAGCTGAAATAGCTACTTTCGATGGTAACACTATAGTTAGCCAGTTCGGTGACATGGGAAATTGCCATACCTCATACCGTAACTGTACACTAACTCACGGTACTGTAATCTGGAAGTTAGCTAATGAAAATCCATTCACATGCAAATATGTTAGAGCCACAGAGGGTATTGCTTTTGTGACTCCAACGCATGTAGTTTTAGATGGTATCCAGTCAGCTTTCACTTACAAAAATACCACTCTTTCGCGTTTTCTAAAACGTAAATGGTGCTTACCTAATGATTCCATTCCGATGGATAATGGAGTTTTCATTTCACTCCCCGAAATTTATGGATATCATCCTACTACTCTATTTTCCACGGCTCCAAACCTAGTTCGATCAATTAATGATAGACATCTAAAAGAAGCTGGACTACTCCAACCTTCCAAACCATCGCAAGAGTTCGCTAGTCAGATAGAAAAACTTGTACAAGACATTGTAGGAAATTTTTCTTACCTTAAGCAAGCTATGCCAGATAATTCGGATATTGCGAAGATACTTCCAACTGACCCAACTCTTGAAACTTTGGGTTCAGTGGTCGGAATTTTGAAGAACATCAAAACAGAGCCCACAAAATTCAAAAGAGCTTTTGCAATTGCAAACAATCATAATCAACTACATTCATTCCTTTTACCATCAAAATCATCCGATTTGAGCCTTGTTTTAGCTAATGACGCTTCCGTGATTGCTAAATATATTGCAAAGCATAACATCCCAGATTTCAGCTCTTTGCGTAACGATTCTTTGTTGACTCCTACACAAAGGCACGACCAACGCCAGTTTGAGCTAAATACTAAACTACAGTTTTTGGAAATAAAAATAAATGAACTAATTCAACGTGATTTTAATTTCCTTTTCGATCGAATTTGTTCTTTGACGAATTTCAAAATCCAGGCTATACGAAGCATTGCGGAAATAAACCCCACAAGCGCAGCTCGTATTTTACTAAACAGAAATGATATTTTTGCTTTGCCTGCAGGTGATGTTCTAATGGTATCAAAATGTAAGGAAGTTGTCGTCGACGAGGTTTACCGAAATCACAAAGTCAATGGTATTTGTTATATCCACACACCGGTTCGTATTGGTAAATCCATATATTTTGTAACTCCAGGGACAAGAGATTTAACTACATCAAGCCCTGAGGCTAATTGTGGTCACTTACCTTTTGGTATCTACAATGATGGTAGTGATCATTACTTGTCACCTGCGGGATATGCTCACGTAACCCAAATTCATACAAATTTGCCAAATAGTCTTACTCCACAAAATTTTGTTTTTAACTCTCCACCAATATTTCATTCAGATTTAGCTAGAATCACCACTGATATTAACATGCTCAAAGATAGGTTTGCTTCCATCAGCGCTACTTCTTCCCAACGCACGCAATCTTCTGTGACGCCCATGAATAGTGAAGACTTTATAGATGATACCGTGAAAACCATCTCATACATTGAAAACAAAGCGGCGAATGTCCTTCAGTTGGGGAAAGAAAAAGTTCTTCAATCTTTAGGCTTACACAATTTTTTACAAATATTGGTCATTTTCATAATTTTGGTGTCTATAGTAATTTTTATAACATTTTTGTATTGTCAATTCGCATTCGCTCGCAAAATATTTTTGGCTATTTTCAATGTAATTTCGCTACCATTTTCATTCATGTTCAGATGTTCTAAGAAAAAACCGTATAACACAACTACCCCACGGCCTTCTTCGCCGCGAAGAATACTACGAGTATTCCGACGAAATCCGTTTCCTACCTATTCCACTAACGATCAATCGGTGGAACTAGGTGAATTGGCTTTGAATGAAGTAAAAACTACAAATCAAAAACTGCAAATCTCAAGCCCTAAAATAATTGGATCACAGTTGAATGTTAATCCAAACTTCACTCCAAATGTTTCATCAGTTCAGTACAATTCCATGTCTACTATATTTATTCCAGTCAAATTAAATTCTTTATCAACTGTGGCACTTTTTGATACTGGTTCAGCCATTACCATTGTTTCCGAGAGATTGGCACAACTTTCAAAAACTTGTATTACGGAATCTACATTACCAGAAGGCATCACAGCCAACGGAACACCTATCAAATTCATAGGCCAGATTTTCGTTAAAGTCACCATCGCAGATGTAGTCAAAAGATTAACATGTTTCGTAGCATCTGACGACCATTGCTCTACTGATTTTCTGTTGGGTAACGACTCTATAACGAAATTTGCTGGAAAAATATCTATCGATTACACCAACAAAACCGTGTCGTTTGACAATACTATGGTTCAAATAATCATTCCTGACGATCCCTATTCCACTAACTACAAAACACCAGTCTATCTCGCAAAAGAGACTATTCTGAATGCTTACACTGACAATGTCGTCATGGGCACTTTGAACACGTTTTTTCCTAGCGAATGGGAGTTCCTCATTTATGATGATTCGTCTCTCATGTTACCATTTGGTATCGCAGTGGGCAAAACTCTTTCTCGTACTGATAACACCAATAACGTTTTGCTACGTATTTTCAATACCAATTCCATTCCTATTACTTTTCACAAAAACAAGTTGATAGCAAAGGCCAATTTCGTAGGGAAAAACATGACTTGGCCACCAATTTTCTTTGTAAATGCAAAAGATCAGCTTACGGAAGATTGTTTGACCCCTCGACAAATGGAAGAATACATTCCCCCAGAGGCAGATATCAGTGAAACATTACCGTGCTATCCTACGGCAGGAAATGAATATTCTATCGAAAAACTTGTCACTTGCGATCTATCAAATCTCTCCAATTCACAATTATCACAATTCAAACAACTTTTGAAAAAGTATGAATCGTGTTTTGTAGGACCAGACGGCAATTTAGGACTTTATCGAGGTCCCATCACGCATAAGATCAATTTCGTTCCTCACGCAAAAACACCAAAGCAGCGACCTTACCGGGTTCCGTTAGAGAAAAGAAAGGAGATCAAGCGTCAAATTGAAGAGATGCTTCGAACTCGCATTATTGAGCCCAGTAATAGCAAATTTGCTTCTCCGATTGTTCTTGTTAAAAAAGGGTCCAGCAAAGACCAATGGCGATTTACTGTAGACTACCGTCAGATCAATGCCATTACCGAAAACGAGACATACTGTATTCCTCATATGCAGGATATAATAGACTTAGCTAGCGGGAAGGAACTTTATAGCGTACTCGACTTCAAAAGTGGATTTTTCCAAATCCCACTTGAGAAGAAACATAAAGAACGCACTGCTTTCTCCTCATTCCTAGGTCTTTTTCAATTTACAGTTATGGCTCAGGGTTTGAAGGGTGCGCCAGGAACATTCCAACGTGTAGCAAATGACCTTATACGTGAACTGCGAGCGTGTTGTTTCGCGTATATTGATGATATCATTATTGCTAGTTCCAGCGTACCTCAACATCTTTCTGACTTAGAAGAAGTCTTTATTCGCATACAAGACTTCGGCATGAAGTTGACCCCAGAAAAGTGTTCGTTTTTTCAGTCAGAAGTGCAATATTTAGGTGTTTTAATTAGTAAAAATGGCACGCGCCTTAATCCATCCAAAATTGACAGCATAACTAATATACCGCGCCCTGTAGATAGTAAAGCAGTTAAATCCTTTTTAGGAGCAGCATCTTATTTTCGTAGGTTTATACCACGATTTGCCATGATAGCCAACCCATTGAACAATCTTTTAGCGAAAGATGTTCCATTTAAATGGGAAAAGGATCATGAGGAAGCCTTTACAACACTAAAACGCGCTTTGGTAGAAGCACCTGTGTTGGTACCCCCTGTTTTAGGTCGACCTTATTTAATACATACTGATGCATCCACTATCGGTGTCGGCGCATGCTTGCTTCAAGTTAATCCGGAAACTTCTAGCGAACACCCAATAGCATACTGTAGCCGCCCGCTTACTAAGCATGAAAAGAACTATGCGGTCATAGAATTAGAAGCACTAGCAATTGTATTTGCTATGAAGCACTTCTACCCCTATGTCGCAAATGCTTCAATCACGTTGATCACGGACCATGCCCCCCTAAAATCTCTAATGCATAGGTCGGATCTCGTGGGACGCCTTGCTAAATACCAAATAACATTGCAGGCGTATGATATTAAGATTGAATATCGTGCTGGAAAGCACAACACCCTTTGCGATTTTTTAAGTCGCTACCCGACTGCCAGCGCCAATTCTATCCAAATAAATGCGCTTCCTTCTCTCAACGAGATTCAGCAGTCGCAGATCAATTCTGAGTATGGAGAATTGATCAGATTTTACAAAGGCGAACTTGACTGTCCACCTGACACATTTGCTGACATTATAGACAGGTACACTTTTTTCAACAATTCACTTTATTACAAACATCACGACAAACCTCAACTTATTGTACCCGATCCAACTTTGCAAAACAAAATAGTACAAATTATTCACACTAATCCATTGATAGGATCTCATCTAGGTATCAGAAAAACAATGAACAGTATTTCCTCCAAATATTATTGGACTAACATGCACAGAGATGTCGCAACTTTTGTAAAAAACTGTCCTATATGTCAGAAAATTAAAACACCGTCAGGAAACATAATCCGTGAAGAATTGGGTTCTTTCCCAATTCCCCAGAGACCTTTCGAGCGTCTCCACACCGACATAATCGGACCTTTACCTCAGTGTGTCAATGGAAATAAATTCATTTCCATTACTGTTTGCGCATTTAGCAAGCTGATCACTTGCACCGCAATTGCTGACCAAACAACCGACACTGTAGTGAAAGCTCTGATTAACGATGTGATAGCTAAACATGGAATTCCGAATGAAATAGTATCGGATCGTGGTTCTAACTATACCAGCGAAATGTTCTCCAAAATCAATCAGATTCTTGGCATTGAGAACAAGCTGACCACAAGTTACAACCACAAAGCTAACGGACAAGTCGAAAGAATGGTTAAGGTTATCGTAGACTCTCTGACTTCATACTGCTCCGAAGCCCAAGAGTTTTGGTCCGATTTCCTTCAACCCATCGTCTTTGCCTATAACACTAGTGTTAACGACACTACTGGTTATAGTCCATACTTTGTTGCGTACGGTCGCCACCCAATTACCTGGTGCGACATCATCCATCAGCTTCCATCCAGGCTTTCTTACGCAACCGATAACTTCGTTGACCAGATGACGACAGCACTCCAAACCACCATTGTGGAGGTCGGTAACCGAATCGCTCGTAAGACTGCCACCTACAAATCAGGTTACGATTTCCATAATAAAGTGTTCTCTAAGGTCATTTCCAAAGGTGATTTAGTTCTGTTACGTGACGATACCGTTCGTCCCAAATTTACTAACCATTGGAAAGGTCCTTTCATTGTAGTGTCCGTCGAACGTCCCAACGTAATCATCACGAACCTAAACGGACTTTTCAGGCGTAAAGTCCACATGAATAGACTGAAAATCTATTCTCATAGTTCCCCATTGACTAAAGTTTCCACTTCAAAAACAATTACCCAACCATTACCTGATACGGAAACTTCAGTCAATGTTGAACAAGCACCACAGGTTCGGAAATCACGTCGTCTTCAACTGAAGAATGCAGCTTTAAACAACCGTCGTTCTGAACAAAGGGGAAATAACTATTGAAAAATGTTTTATATATATATACACTCCATCTTTGGCAATACAATAGTTATTTCTTCTTTAAGGTTAGTTTATTTCCAATCTTTCGCCGCATCGCGCTGTTGACAACTGAAGTTCTTTGAACAGGCAATTCAAAGAACATTTTTCGCATTAAGCAGCTTGAAAAAAAAAACACATTTCTCATCTTACTCTCCAAATTTTGCCCCATTGTTGAATGAAAAACAAGTGTGCTGTGCCCAATTCAACATTGGAAACACGTTAATTATGTTATAAACTTGCAATGATGCTGTTCTGTTATATACGCTAGCATACATATATATGTACCAATTTACATGTTATACAATTACACTATTTTCTAAAGATTATATTTCTCACTATTATGCAACATTTTGTTACATATCACCTATATCTGTAGAATTTACACAGTATACTAAGATAACCATGCTATTGTAGCTATTATATTTTGTAAACGCCATGAGTTATATTCTACCAACTTCAAACCTCACTTCATGATACCCCGCTTCCTGATATGTTGTCCTTCATCGACGCCTAAAAATCCCAAAAGGATATTCTACAATCCTTAGTCCGCCTTAACCATCCTGCTTCCCATATGACATCCTTTAATGCGAATTTTCACCATTCCTGACAATCCTCGCTCGAGGACGAGCTTCTTCAATGCCCTGGGAGAAGTCGTAGCCATTTCCATGGTTCACTGATCCCTCATCCTCAGTAGGTAGCTCACCCTCACGTACATCATCATCCTCGAATCATATGCCTATCGTCAATGTTGAAGATGTTCTCGCCGTAAACCGCGTGTCCAACCATCTATGCACGCTACCCGGAAGAACAACCGCACCAATCTGACTCGCTCGAGGACGAGCTTCTCGAAGGAATGGAGATGTCGGGATGCAGTTGGACTGCATCAGCTGTTCGGAGGCTGGCCGACGAGAGTCGAGCCGAGCAGTGACCCCCGTGGCCCCGACACCACCCGGTTACCACCATCCCCCCTACCCCCATCACCCTTGTATATTATGTAGATAATAAATATTTATATAAGACTTTGTAACCCGCTACACATCAGGATAAAGGGAGTAGCTAACCTTTTATACCTGACAAAGCTATGGTTTTCAAATAAAATGCAAAAAAAATCAAATTTCTGTTTCGTACTGCTCGCTCAAATATCATGACTCAGAAGGGAAATGTTCAGTCAGAACCTTGCACAATTGGAAAGAGCGGAAATAAAACTGTAAAGCGATTA